AATAATAATAATAATAATAATAATAATAATAATAATAATAATAATAATAATAATAATAATAATAATAATGATGATGAAAATAAAAATACAAATGAAGAAGAAACTTGGGAACAAACTTCATCTATCGTTATGAATCGTGACGAAATTGATCTAACGAACTCAGCATCTCCTCTTTGGAATAATATTTAATTTTATAATTTTAGATTATTATTTTGCAAAATTTATTCTTATTATCTCTCTCTAATATACAAAATTCAATTTTTATAAATTTTTTCGTTAAAATATATCTTATTTTAGAATATATCTTAGAAATTATTTTAGTACAATTATAATAAATTATGGAATTACAATGAATTATGGTACAATTTCAATTCCGACACTCTTTGAAGTACCAATAATACTTTTGCAAACATTCTCTAATCCAAGATCCATCATATTTTCTTGTTTACTTTTAATCAAAGCAATTTCATAAACATGCTTTAAACTAATCTTTCCTACTGTTTCCTGTCCAGGTTTATGTGCTCCCTTTTCAACTCCTGCTACTCGTTTTAAAAACCAAGGTACTGGCGGTAATTTTGTGATAAAAGTAAATGTACGATCAGGGTTAATTGTTATAAGTGTTGGAATTGGTATATTTGTCTCAAAATTTTTAGTACGTTCGTTAAATTGTTTACAAAAATCTATGGCTTTCACTCCACGTTGACCTAAGGCTGGACCTATTGGTGGCGTTGGTGCTGCTTTTCCCGCAGAAACCAAACATCTTATTTGTGTAACTTTTTGTAAAGGAACTTTTTTAGACATTTTTTTACAATAATTTATCAGGAGTAAAAGAAGATAAAAGAAGATAAAAGAAGAGAAAAAATTACGAAAATAATAAATGGTTTTACACGTGACAAACAAAATTATCAATCTTTACAAAATAAATCAACCAATCAACATCAATCATCATTAACACTAAATGGAAAAATTTTCCTTTGATAATAAAATTTTTTTTTTTTTCCTGTAGTTAAAAAATGGATTTTTCGATGTACAATGATGCCGAAAAGGCACATATTCAAAGAATAATTGAACAAAAACAAGTAAAATTTGATCATTTCTTAATAATTATATCTTAATAATAATTAATAATTTATACCTTAATAATTTATATATTATATCTTAATAATTATAATAACTATTTATTAATATTACAAGATGCGAGATTTCATGAAATTTTACACTAATTTGGTGGAACGATGTTTTAATGATTGTATTAATGACTTTACTTCAAAAGCATTATCTTCTAAAGAGGTAATGAAAGAAATTTATATTATGTAAACTCTTACCATCATCAAAAATTTTTATTCAATAACTATTTCTTTTTGTCTTTTTTAGGAAACATGTATATTCCGTTGTACGGATAAATTCTTAAAACATAATGAACGTGTTGGACAACGATTCGCAGAATTAAATCAACAAATAATGCAACAACAACAACAGCAACAGTCACTTTCACCATCTTCACCGCAACAAAAAGGTGGTGGATGGTTTGGAGGATCTTAGAATTATTTAATTATTTAATAGAATTTAAAAGATTTTATTATTATAAAATATCCTTATCCAAATCTGTTTCTATTTTTATTATTAGAAAATCTTTTTTTTTTGTATGTAATAAATAAATACCCGAAAGAACTATATAAAAAGTAGTTACCAGTTTTAACCTGTAAGAATAATAATTAAAACATTATTGTTTGTTGTCACATCTTTTTCTTTCTGAATAACTGAAACTTTTCATTTGAACTTGATTACGTATAAAAAAGATATCCAATTATCATAAGTATTTGATTAAATAAAAAATTATTCAAGCAATTCGAAGTCATTACTAAAGTTCATTGTCCTTTATTTCACAAAACTGCAAGTTGGTCTAAAAGTTTTTTAAAAAAGATATAAAAAAAAAAAAAAAAAAAAAAAAAAAAAGATGTAACACAATGGAAAAAATTTCTTATAAAAAATGTATTAAATGGCGCAGTCGATAGGAAAAGAATTTTTTTTCTGATAAAAAAAAAATGACAAACTCAAAAAACTCGGAAGAAAAAATTAATGTTCAAGAAATTAATGAATACTTAGATGACTTTCTTCAAACTTCACAACCAACTTATGATCCCACTACAACTGAAACAATTGCTAAAGAAAGTTCAGGATTTCGTCATACTTCTCCTTATCAAACTCCCTCCACTAATTCAAATAATTCAAATTCTATAAATTCTTCCAAATACAATAACTTGACAAATTCATTTCGCGAATTTTTTAATGATCCACTTATTTTTATACAAAAGTTTGAAAAAAAGTCTGTATCAATCTCTACTAATAAAACTAACAATACTTTAGAACATGATTCTTATAATAAAGAAAATTTAGTGAACACTTTAAATGATGAAAACTTAAACAAAATAGATTCAAGAAAACAACAACATATTCGTAATAGAGAAATGATCAAAGATTTGGGTCAAGGATATATGGATAGGAAAAAAGAAATTTATGATGCATCATTGATCAATTGTGCAGAAATTCATTCAGAATTAACAAATTGTTTTAGAAATGGATCTTTAAAAGAAAAATTAACATGGTGTAATGATGCAAGAACAAAATTTTGGAATTGTATGGATCAACAAAAGGTTAAATAATCAAATAAATTAATTAATTAATTAATTTAAATTGATTATTTTTAATTAATTAATTATTTATTTATTTATTTATTTAATTATTTATTTAATTTTTGACAGAAATTGTTGTCTGAAATGGGATACAAAGCGTACAATAAAACAGATGAAGAAAATGAAGAAATTTTAAATAAAGCGGATATTCGTTTTCAACAAGAACTTACGTCTAACTTTGAAAAGTAAATAAATCAAACATAATAAAAATAATAATTTAAAGTTTATAATCTTCTCGCTTTTCTTGGTCTACACCCATCAAATGGAAGTGGTGTAGAATCCGTAATTCTTTTAATATCCCAAGGATTTTCTGTTGAAGCAATTGCCTTAAAAGCAGCATCTCTACCTGGTCCAAATCCATTAATTAAAACTTCAACATTTCTTACATTGATATTTTTTTCTTTGGTTTTATCAACTAAACTAACAGCAGCTTGATGTGCAGCTTCATATCCACCCCTTTGAGCTTTCTTAAATCCTGCACGTCCACCTGATGTAGTTATTAATACATTTTTTTTTGAATTCGTTAAAGTTATTATAGTATTGTTGTATGATGCATGTATATGAATTCGATATAATTCTTCTGAAGGTGAAAGGAAATCTGATAATAATTTCGCTACATCTGAATTTGAAGATGTTTTTTGTGTAGATGTTTTATTGATTAATTGTGAAGAGCTAAGCATCTTCAATATGGAACTAGTGCTATTAATATTATCTTTCTCTTCCTCTTCAATATTCTGATGTTTAATTGGTTCTTTATTTTGAACTTCTTCAACTTCATCAGAAAGATTAAAAAGGAGATCGTCAACTTCTGTAAATTTTTTTTCATCTTTTAACCTTTGATCAAATATTCCATTCGATTTGTAAGTATTTTCATCTTTAAAAAGAGTCAATATATCTTCAAGTCCTTCTGATTCATTATCATCGTTTGGAAAGTTTTTTTTATCTTTTTCAATTTTTTTGTCATTTTTATCATTTTTATAATTACTATTGTTATTATTATTATTATTATCATTATCATCACCATCATCATTATTATTATTATTATTTCTATCATTAGTAAAAAGAAACCGAGTTCTAAATCCAATGTTAAGTCTAGGTGATATAATTTCAAATAAAGATGTATTAGCTTTGAATAATAAAAACATATTTAACGCAACGCATACAAACAGAACAGATTGTGATAATCAGTGATATGCAATTAGTGCAATCTATTTTTTTTTTATCCATATAAATTATATGATTTTATTGATTTATTGATTTTATTGCATTTATTATTACTAATCTTAATAGTCCTTAATTTCATTAATTTGCGTCACGAGTTTATCAAAAATTTCATCATAAAAATATATCTATAAAAAGCCTGTTTAATTTTTTTTGATTACATTTTTTTTATATTTTACATTACATTATCTTTATCGTTATATAATTACTTATATACACTTATACCCCTTACGAACATTACGATAATATTACATTTATCATTATGTCTAAGATTATTACTATTGAAGAAGTTGCAAATCATAATGCTGAAAATTCTATTTGGATCATTGTTCACGATAAAGTATTTGATGTAACAAACTTTTTAAATGAACATCCTGGTGGCAAGAAAGTTTTACTTAAAGTCGCTGGCACAGATGCTACTAAACAGTTTGATAATTTTCATTCGTTAGATATTTTAACTAAATACGCGCCTCAATTACAAATTGGTGAAATTGGCAATTCTCAAACAGAAATTATTAATGAATCTCCTTCAGGTGATGGCCCATTTGGTGACCTTGTACCGCATGGCGATCCTTACTGGTACCAAGACTTTCAGAGTCCATATTATAATGAAACTCATCGTCGTGTACGTTCTATTGTACGTAAGTTTGTGGAAACCGAGATCATGCCTTATGTTTTCGAATGGGATGAAGCTAAAAAAATTCCCAAGGAACTTTTCATAAAGGCCGCAAAAATTGGTATTTTACCTGCTGTTTGTGGTGCACCTTGGCCAACAAAGTATTAATTTAATTTATATTAATTTATATTAATTTATATTTGAATTCTTTGAAAATCTGATCTGATTGATATTCATTATTCTTGTATATTATGTATTAATTAGGTATAGTAAATATCCTTCTATTGGTGGTATTAAACCAGAAGAATTCGATCATTTTCACGAATTCATCGTTACAGATGAATTAGCTCGATGTGGTTCTGGCGGTCTTCTTTGGGGTTTAACTGGTGGTATGTATTAAATAATGATATAATATATTATTCATATAAGATGTTATTCATATCAGATGTTATTTATATCAGATTTTATTTATATTTCATTTCGTAAATTTTAGGTTTGGGAATTGGTCTTCCACCAATTATCAAATTCGGTAGTGAGGAACTTAAAGCGAGAATCGCACCAGAATGTTATGAGGGCACAAAGTTTATTTGCCTTGCTATCACGGAACCTTATGCTGGATCTGATGTTGCTAATATTCGAACAGAAGCCAAACTTTCTGATGATGGTGAATATTATATTGTTAATGGAGAGAAGAAATGGATCACAAATGGTGTCTTTGCTGATTACTTCACTACTGCTGTTCGAACTGGTGGTCCCGGTATGGGTGGAGTATCTCTCCTTTTAATAGAAAGATCACGGCCGGGTGTTAAAACCCGTCAAATGCAATGTATGGGGGTATGGGCCTCGGGTACCGCTTATGTTACCTTTGAAGATGTAAAAGTACCCAAAAGCAACATTATCGGAAAAGAAAATGGAGGATTCAAGGTATTTATCTTTATCTTTTCTATATTATTATTATTATTTATTATTATTTTTCTTCTTCTTCTTCTTCTTCTTTCTAGTTACAAGTTACAAATTTATTTAATAATATAATTTACTACACATATACATATAGTGCATTATGCATAACTTCAACCATGAGCGTATGGGAATTGCTATTCAAGCAAACCGTTTTGCCCGGGTGTGCTACGAAGAAGCAATGAAATATGCTCATAAACGCAAGACCTTCGGTCAAAAACTTGTTGATCATCCAGTAATTCGTAACAAACTTGCTCACATGGCTCGTCAAATAGAAGCTACTCATGCTTGGATGGAAGTGTTAATTCATCAAACTAATCAAATGACTGGAACTGAAGCCATGACAAGACTCGGTGGTCCAATTGCGTTGCTAAAAGCTCAATGCACACAAACATTTGAGTTCTGTGCTCGTGAAGCAGCGCAAATCTTTGGTGGCTTATCTTATTCTCGTGGCGGGTACGTAACTTCAAATTTTCATAAAATTTCATTAATATACCTTTATACATTTACTTATTAATTTATAATTGTCAACAGTCAAGGTGAAAAGGTCGAACGCTTATATCGTGAAGTACGTGCTTACGCAATTCCAGGAGGTTCGGAAGAAATTATGCTTGATCTTGGTATCAGACAATCTCTGAAAGTTGCACAATTTTATGGTGCTAAACTTTAAAAATTTTCCAAAAAAAAAAAAAAAAAAAGAATAATAATAATATATTTATGAATAATGTTTACCACCAGACATTCTATAAATTATTTAAATTAAACATTTCAAATCGTTGGACGAATTAATATATTATAATTTAGAGAGTATATTTGAAATAAAAATATATCCTGTCTTATTTAAATTATTTTTACCTATTTATTCATTATTATCCAATTTTTATAATGAGAGATTTTAATGTTTTAATTTATTTATATTCATAAAATATGTAAACTTAAATAACTTTATTTTATTTGCACTTTCATTACCAAAATGAATATTTGTTCATTGATATTTAAAAAAAGATCACGGTTCAAAAAAAAGTTTCAGCTATTTTTACTAATATAAAATTCCCGAAACCCCTTTTTGCTGTGGGCGATCCCATATTCATTGTATACATGATGATATCGTCTTTTAAAAGGATTGTAAATATTCAAATTCTATGAATGGAAAGGTTATTAGGGGTAATACATTGTATATATTGTAAAAGATATGTCAAACGATAAATATATCAATTGAAATTAAACCAATTAAACCGTGACATGTATTTTAATGTTAATAAATTATTTCTTTGAAAAATGACGATTTGTGCAAAATCCCACTATTGAATTCACCTTCTTTAATTTTCTCACACCTAAATGATATACAAAACCAAACAATAATAATAAATTCTAGTCCATAGGTTACATATATTTTTAACAAGTATTATTAGCCTTGGTATTAAGAATTAGACCAACAATTAATCCATAAAGTCCTAATACTTCGGCAAAGATCAACATTAAAACCATCGTTACGAAAAGTTTTGTTTGTTGTGCATGAGCTCTAACACACTTCAGAATTATAAAATAATTAAATAATTATAAATTAATAATTATTATTATTTTAACAAAAATAACAAAAATAACAAAAAAATGAAGAATCCTGAACTTACAGCATCACCAACAATTCCTATTGAGTACCCCGCAGCTAAGCCCGCAAGGCCTACTGAAAGGCCAGATCCAAGTTGAATAAATCCACTTTTATAAATCAAAATATATACAAAATGAATTTGGTTTGATCAACGAATTAAATACAAAAATTTGCTTATATTACTCACGTAAATAGAGAATACGATTTTGTTGGATCCACTAAAAATTAATAAGAATTATAAGAATTATAAGAATTAATAAGTTAAGATAAAGAATGATTAAATATTGAAGTTAATAGATAGAGAATATTTGACATAATTAAAGTTGGTATATTACATACATGTTCCGGCTATTATAACGGACATTACAAGACCATAAACCGCAATTATACCAGCCATAACAACAGGAAGGAGCGACTAATCAAACAAACAAACAAACAAACAAAAAAAAAAGAATGTTAGTTGGAGAATAAAAGTTTGGATTAATTAGAATAATATTTATTTGAATACCTTCATAATAAGTTCGGGTCTAAAAGTTCCTGCACCTGCTATTCCAATTCCAGCTTTTGAAGTCCCATAAGCTGCACCAATAGCTATTTAAAATTGATTTATATCACGATTTAAAGATTTAAAAAACAAACAACTGAATAATAAAAATTCCAAGAAAAATATACAAATTATTAATTTTTACAGCTAAAAATCATCTTTTATAAGAGGAATAATTATTGAAAAAGGACAAATATAAGTAATAGTTTAACGGTAATAGTTTAATTAATGCGAAATAAGAATCATGAAGTTTTAATGCCTACCGCAGAAGCTACACCAGCGAAACCAAAAAATGATGCATACACTGGACATTCATCGCTTATTTTCACTACCATGGTATCAATTTTGTATAGGTTTAAAAAATCTACAGATACTAGAAATTCGAGTGTTTAAGGTATACCAATGAAATTTAAGCTGTGCTCTTTTGTATATCTGTATCACCCAAGTCAAAAATTTCTAATGTCTAACGAAACAATTAGTTTAGAAACTGCTGTTGAAACAGCGGCATTAACTCTTCTGGATTTTGTTATTCCTCCAGATCCTTTAATACCTTCAATACCTTCAATATACGAATCTTTACAAAAAAATGTTGAACCTAAAGTAATAGAATTGGGACAAAGTTTGAGTCAAGCTGTACCTCTTTTGTCTGAAGGATTTTTGGCACATTGGCTACCAATATTGAATCAAGTTGAAGTACAGTTAAAAGAAACAGAGTAATTATCCAATTAATTAATTATCAAATAATTGTTTATTACTATATTTTTAATTTTATGATTTTCTTTATTAGAGAGAAGCAAAAACAACTTATTGAAGAATTAAGGAGAACAAACGTTCGATTAGAAAATCAAGACAATTATGAATACATTGCCTTGAGTGTTGGTGTTTTCATAATTACTTTTAATGCTTATATATATTTGAATGTTTCTAATTTATCGTCACTTTTCAAATTAAAGTTCTCTAAAATTCCTCTTTATCAATCAAAACTTCAAAATATTCGAAATACAATGCTTTTATTGTTATCTCGATCCAAGAATTTGAAACAACGGGTTGACCAACTTAAATTACTTAAAGAAAATCAATTAGCACAGATAGCACAAATACAACAACGAGAGAGAACATTTGATCAAACTGTTTTGGCTGCCAGAATAGTTGAGATTACTCCTGTTGAAAATCAGTCTGCAGTAAACACGAAAACAGCAATAAAGAAAAAGAAAAAAAACAAGACAAAAGATAAGGGAAAAAATAAAGAAAAAGTTGTAATAAGGAGAGAAATTGAATTTGTATCATCTTCGAAGAATAGTGAAGTAACCAAAGATATATAGTGAAACAAACACACATATATAAGAAAAACTTATTAATAAAATTCTCTTTTAAAACATTTCCTACTATAGATAATTGTTTCAAATAACACTCTTAAAATTAAAAAAAAATTGATTAATTTATTACAAATACATTTATTATTATTAAGTACAAGCTAAATCAAACTAGATCAAACTGAACTGATAGAGCTAAACCAGTTTGACTTGAGAGTTTCAAGTTGTCAGTTTTGTTTAGTCAAATTACAGTTTAGCTAAAGTTATCAAGAAATGGAAACAGTTATGAGTTTGAAGCCAATGGGATATATTAATTATTATATGATTGTTATCTTTAATTTAGTGATACAAAAGAATTACTTTATCAAATGGTAATTCCTATACTATAGATTAGCTAAAATCAGTAACAATCGACTGTCCTATTATATCCTATATTATAAATTAGCTAAAATTGGAATTCCTTTTCAGTACAGCATATTTTTGTATTTGACCTGTGTAACAAAAATCATTATTATTCAAATTTTTATTATGTATATAAGTATAAGTTATATATTACATTCAAGATAATTATTATATAATAAATATTAGTTAAAATCATCAACTTTTGATACCTTTCTAAAAAAGGTTATAACTTGTGTTACAAGTGTATTATGAAAAAATCCTTTAGTAAAATTATTAATCAAATATCAATTCATATTTTTACTAAAGAAATTCTCATTTTATTATCCTTAACCTAAATTATAATAGATCAAAGTTTAATATATTTACAGTAATTTACAAAAGTATTACAATATCTGATTTTTTGTCTTTAAAAAATTCTAGCTTCTATACAATAAATTTTAGAACAATAATTACTTTATATATTTTAATTTCTAAGATTTGAAGAATTTTTGAGATGTTTTTAGTATTAGATTATAATTCTGATTTTACATAAATAGATAATCAATATTGAGAATTGTCACTTAATAAAATTTCAATTGTAAATAAAATTTTATATAGAATAGTTACATTAAGATGGTTATAAGATTAATTGTACTTCCTAAAGAGAACAAGCATAACAATTGGATCAATAGTTATCAAGAAACTAACTCTTGAAAATTGTAATTTTATATATAAAATTAATAAAAATAATTGTTATATGTAAAATTTCAATTTTTAAAGGTTAATTTCTCAATTAAGGATGGTCAACTCAATTAATATTAGGTCTGATTTATACTTGCACGCAAAATTATTTTGGGGTCCCGAAATTGCAATTTCGTGAAAATAGTTTTTCATAGAAGACGAAATTATTTTACTTAAAATCTGAAATTTTTTGATCATCCAGATTTATTCTTTGATTGAATATACACATAACTGGGTACTTTTTTTACTTCCATATATAGAATAGATTCTGTATAAATCTCAAAAAGTTGAAATACCTCAAAAATCCAAAATCAATTTTGGGAACATGTATAGTCTGATTTAATAATTGTGCTTCTAGCTAATTGACTAAATTCTAATTCACTAGTTAAATAGGATTACATTTTTTTTTTTGAAATAACTAGCATTGTTATAGAATAAAATCATCATGATAAAAAAATATATAGTACACAATCCTAGAAACATCTACAAATACTTAGTAATAATATTAGATAATAGTAATATTTAAAATTAGAATAAATCTAATTGGAACATCTTGTTCCAGAAACAATCTTGAAAAATAGTACCAAAAATCTTTAAATTTTTATTTAATTGGTCATTAAAAAATATAAAAATCATGTGTCTACTATTATTATTTTATTTTTTTTTTTAATTTCAACAGAGTCATGTTTTATTAAACAATTTATTTTGCAAATTACAAATACATTTAATACAACTGGTTATGGCTAAATTAATAACACAACCACCCAACTCATTGTTACTCTAGTGTTACCTAAAACAACTGATAGTTATGCTTCTACTCATCTCTTTTTGACCAGTTTGAACAAAAAGTTACTGGAAAAAGAATATTAATTCATCGAGAAGCTATAGATTAGAAAACTGTATATTAAAAACTGTACAGAAATAAAATATTTAAATAGAAAATTAATAATAGATAAATATCCATATTCACTAATATTAAAACTAGTTTTTAGAACAAGAAATTATATGAAATTCTATATACCTCCTCAATTAGTTTTTGAATAATATCTGTTTTGATTTCCAGACTGTATACAGTTCAATTATTCACTTATACCATGGACTCTAGTTCCTAACTCATTTACAGTATTAGTCAGATCAGCTAATCCCTTAGACATATTGTCTTATGTTTTTAATACATTTGGGTTATTTGTTTCAGTGGGAATAACATAATTATGTTATTCCCACTTAGTTTAGGTTATTTCCACTTGGGTATGTGGCTTGACAACTGAA